ACCTCCAACCCAACTCCACCGCCCTCCAACCCAACTCTACCGACCTCCAACCCAACTCCACCGACCTCCAACCCAACTCCACTGACCTCCAACCCAGCTCTACCAACCTCCAACCCAACTCCATCGACCTCCAACCCAACTCTACCAACCTCCAACCCAATTCCATCGACCTCCAACCCAACTCCATCGACCTCCAACCCAACTCTATCACATCCAGTGCTTAAATTGCGTCCCTCAGCACCACATCTACTCATATTTTGGACCCCTCCAGGGATGGAGATTCCACCACCTCCCTGGGCAGCCCTTGCCAGTGGTTAATGACCCTTCCAGTGAAGAAATTGTTCCTAATTTAAACCTCCCCTGGTTCAACTTGAGCCCATTTCCTCCAAGAGAGTGACAGGGTCACTGAGTGGTGGGTTTGGAAAGGACCTCTGGAGACCCCCCAGTCCAGCCCCCTGGAGAGCAGGGTCACCCCCAGCAGGTCCCACAGGAACACACCCCGATGGGCTGGGATGTCTCCAGGGATGGAGGCTCCACCACCTCCCTGGGCAGCCTGGCCCGGGGCTCTGGGACCCTCAAGGTCAACAAGTTCCTCCTCAGCTTTAAATGGAACTTCCAAGTGAAGAAGGAGTGAGAAGAAGAAGCAAAGAGAAGAGGCAGCAAACACCTGCTGTTCCACTCACCTGCCACAAGCAGCTCAACCACCACCTCATCATACCAGTTGTCAAAGAAGACACCACAAGTGTATTTCCCTTGGTCAGAGAAGGTGACATTTTTCAGGTGAAGAGACAAGTTTCCTCTGTGAAATTCTGACTGGAAAAAATCTGTCCTGCCCTGGTAGGCCTCATCCTCCAGAACTGGATTCTGGAGGGATTTTCTCCTATCAAAAGTGGCCACATCAGTGTTTTTGGAGCTTCCAGTAAATGTCCACTGAATGGTGACTCTGGCTGGGATGATCTTGGCTTTCAGCAGACATGGCAGGATGACCCCTCTGCCCAGGATCCCCAGGACAGGCTTGTCAGGAGGAATAATTTTATACTGGCCTGAAAGAGGAAGATGTAATTCTGACTTGTCATGGAATGGTTTGGGTTGGAAGGGACCATTCATGGTCCAATCAGCAGGGACATCCACAGCTAGACTAGGTTGCTCCATCCACCCTGACCCTGAATGGTTTTGAGGATGGGGCATCTATCACCTCTCTGGGCAACCTGGTCCAGTGTCTCCCCACCTTCACAACAAAGAATTTCCCCCTCATGTCCAACCTCAACCTCCCTCTTCAGTTTTTGAACCATCATCCCTTGTCTATCACTCCATGTCCCTGTCCCAAGCCCCTCCCCAGCTTTCCTGGAGCCCCTCCAGGCACTGGAAGCTGCTCTAAGGTCTCCCTGGAACCTTCTCTTCTCCAGGCTCAACACCCCAACTGATTTGGGTTGGAAGGACCTTTAGGATCACCTGCCCTGCATGGGCAGGGACACCTCCCACCAGCCCAGGCTGCTCCAAGCCCCATCCAACCTGCCCTTCAACACCCCCAGGGCTGAAGCAGCCACAGCTTCCTTGGACAACCTGGGCCAGGGTCTCACCACCCTCACTGCTGTTTGCTTCAGGTTTCAGAAAATGATGGAGGGGGAGGGGAATTTTTTATTTCTTCTAGATCTTCCCACCCCATCTGGAAATTCCACGTGTTTTTAGATAAAATGCTGGTTAAAGCAGAATCTTGATTTACCTGTGACCAGCTGAACCACCTGCAGGAAAATGATGACACGAGGAGTCGTTGCCTGTTGCCATCTGGAGCCCATTGCCTTGCAGACATCAAGAAGCAGAGGTTTTGGGTCAAGTCCTACCAGGTTTGTGTCATCTCTTCGAGCAGGGAACAGAAAACGAGAAGAGTGAATCCAACTTGGAGATATTTCTGGCTATGAAGTCCCACCCCCTGCATGGGCAGGGACACCTCCCACCAGACCATCCAGCCTGGATGTGAACACTTCCAGGGATGGGGCAGCCACCTTCAAGATCATCTAGTGGATCATCTAGTTGGACTTTAAGGTTCTTTCAAACCCAAACCATTCCATGATCTAAAGAACCAACGAGTTCCACCCCCTGCCATGGTGGGATCTCCTGTGGGTGATCCTGCTCTAGCAGGGTCTAGATGATCTTTAGAGGCCCCTTCCAACCCCACCACACTGTGACTCTGAGCCCTGGGACAGGCTTCCTGGAGAGGTGGTGGAGTCTTCTCCTCTGGAGACATCCCAAACCCATCTGCATGTGGGATCTACTGCTCTAGCAGGAGGTTGGATTAGATGCTCTCCAGGTTCCTTTCAACCCTGACGACTCAGTGACTCCATGACCAGATTCCACATGGGAAGGGACTGGTTTCTTGGAGCCCAGAAGCATTTCTGCTTCTGTGGAAGTTCTGCAGAACATGCTTGATGCCCAGTTCTTTGTGGAAGCTGAGCCATGTTCACCTTTGCTCTCCTAGCAAACCATAGACCCATGGAAGGGTTTGGGTTGGAAGAGGCCTCCAAGATCATCCAGATCCAACCCCCTGCATGGGCAGGGACACCTCCCACCAGCCCAGGCTGCTCCAAGCCCCATCCAACCTGCCCTTCAACACCCCCAGGGATGGGGCAGCCACAGCTTCCCTGGGCAACCTGGGCCAGGGTCTCCCCACCTTCAGAATGAAGAGTTTCTTCCTAATGTCCAACCTAAATCTCCCCTTTTCCACTTCTAATCCATCCCCTCCTTGTCTTCCTGCTCCAACCCCTTGTAGATGAGAAGCAGGAAAGAGTCAAGAAGGAAGGTAGGTCCTCATTCACACTCATTTATTGCTCCTTCTGTTAATAATTAACCAGCCACCCAAAAGCAAAACCAGATTTTCCAAGATCCTGAGTGACTGAAGAATGAAAAAGATGAAAACCTGTATATTTAGATTTATCTGCCTCGATTTCAATGTATCTCAATTTTACAGTGGCTGGAAATCAGGCCTGGGGAGCAGGACTTGGGGATGGGAGGAGATGAGAAGCCCAACGTGAGCCACCAGCATGTGCTGGAGCCCAGAGGGGCAGGTGTGACCTGGGCTGTGTCACCAGCAGCGTGGGCAGCAGGGCCAGGGAGGGGATTGTCCCCTCTGCTCTGCTCTGGTGAGACCCCACCTGGAGAATTGGGTCCAGTTCTGGGGTCTCCAACAGAAGAAGGACATGGAGAGAGTTCAGAGGAGGCCATGGAGGTGATCCAAGGGCTGGAGCAGCTCTGGGACAGGCTGGGAGAGTTGGGGTGTTGAGCCTGGAGAAGAGAAGGCTCCAGGGAGACCTTAGAGCAGCTTCCAGTGCCTGAAGGGGCTCCAGGAAAGCTGGGGAGGGGCTTGGGACAAGGGCAGGGAGGGATGGACAAGGAGTGATGGCTCAAAACTGGAAGAGGGAGATGGAGGTTGGAGATGAAGAGGAAATTCTTCACCATGAGGGTGGTGAGAGCCTGGCCCAGGCTGCCCAGGGAAGCTGTGGCTGCCCCATCCCTGGCAGTGTTGAAGGGCAGGTTGGATGGGGCTTGGAGCAGCCTGGGCTGCTGGGAGGTGTCCCTGCCCATGCAGGGGGTCAGAACATGATGATCTTTAAGGTCCCTTCCAACCCAAACCATTCTATATTTCCATAAGATGACAGAAGGTATAAGGTACAATATAAAATATAATATACAATACAAAATAGATAATAAAATATAATAAAGAATAAAATACAATAGAGAATAAAATACAATAGAGAATAAAATATAATTGAATATAAAACATTATAATATAGAAAATAATATGTAATATACAATGTGTAATGTATAATATATCATATATAACATCTAATGTATAATTCCACCAGCTCAATATTAATTCAAACCCTTCAAAAACCCCTTCATCATTAATAATTGGACCAATCCTGTCTCAGCCAATTCTTTATTTCTTACCTGAAAGGCAGGATCTAAAGTCTCCATTTTCAATTGCATTGTGGGAAAGGAGGAATTTTGGGCTTGTTTTACCCGAATCTCCACATTTTCTTTCTCCACATCCCCCGAAGGGATAAACTGCAGCAATTTCCTCATGAAAACCCACTTGGACTTTCATCACCAGGTGTTTTTATTTTCCCCTGGGAGGAACATTCCAGCCAATACCTGCAGATCCCAACGCCCTGGAGCAGGAGGTGTCCAAGGGTCTTTGGTTTCCTACACACCCAGATCCAAAGGGCAGGGAGAGGATTAAGGCTGCAAATCCTTTCTCCTCTCTGTGGTGTGGCTGATAATTAAAAAAAAGAAATGAAGAACGGATTAAAAACCACCTGAGAGAATTAATTAAACACGAAGAGGAGGTGGAGAAACCAAAATGTGTGGGGAGGTGAGGCCACCACCCACCCCAAGTTAGAAATGCAAATAAACAAGGCAGAAATCAGGAAGGAAATGGTAATTAATTTAGAAAACGTGGAATATCAGAACTTGGGAAGTGGGTTCCAGTCCTGGAGCCCCCAACAGAAGAAAGGGCCACGTGGCTGTGGATGGAGCAACTCCAATGAGTGGGAGCAGCTGTGGGGAGGAGAGGATGGGCCAGGTGACCCAAAATGGACCAGTCCCAGGGCTCCTTCCCATGGGGCTCAGTATCAAACAGCTCCTCAGATAATCCCCCTGCTGGTTGGTGGGGAGGTCTGTTGGTTTGTCCTCTCTTCCTGTGTCTTCTCTTGGAGAGGAACATGGTTCATGGAGGCAGATTGTCTTCTCCTGCCTTCCCCAGCAGAACCAGCTCCAAGGCTTTTGTAGACCCTGGACTCAGGCACCTTCATCTGCTGCCAAGTCCAGTTTGGGGTTTTCCTGGTCAGGAAGGAATGACCAACTGAAGAGAGTGGGTTCCATATTTGTCTATAATTAACAATATATATTATATATATTAACATGATACTATTTATAAATAGATAAATTATCTGACATAATAATGATGATTATACTTCATTAAACCTGTTCTAGGTGTTTTTTTTTCCCCAACCCTAAAGTCTCTCTCCCTTATTCCCTTTTTAAAGGGAAATTAAATTAAACATGTGACAGATGAATTAAATTTTTAAAAATTGGCACATTTATTGGGAGGATAAATCAATCTTTAGAAGGGTAGAGTTTCACTAACAGCTTTTAGATTTTGCAGAGAAAAATATGGAAATATCCAATGATGAACCCATGAAGTGATTTGAGCCCCACGTTGGGCACCAATAAAACCTGTCACGGTTCTGGCAAACCAAGACAACTCCACCAAAACCCCCCCAAAATACAAAAAAACCCCTCCAAACCCCAACCAGTTTGTTGTTGAAATAGGAATCTTGGCTGTTACCTTTTCCCCAGTCGTGCTGCCCAATCCTCTCCAGCCTCATTGGAGAGATGCAATCAGAAGTGGTAATAAAGAGATGAGGACAAAGGTTCCCCACAGTCCCATCCCACAAAGAGCTCTGAAGATTCTTCCAGTTCAGGTAAGAAAATGGTGGGTTTGCTAAATCCTTGAGGAAAATCCATGGCATTCGTTAGGATACTTGAATTAATTGGGGTGTTTTTACTTGGTTCCGCTGGCAGGAATGGAGCTGGAGGTGAATTGTTGGCATTTCCAGGTGGGAATTCTCCATTCTGGCAGCACTTGATTTTATCAGTGTTCAAAAATGGGAGGAAAACCCCCACAAAAGTGGAGAAAATAATGTTTTATAGCTATTTTTAAGTTCTGCTCTTCCAGCTCAGTTTGAGTTATGTCCCTTCACTGTGATTAGTTAAAAATGCAGTGGAAAGCCAAAAATGGTGGGAAAAAGTTGGAGTCAAATGGGTTCAATCACAAGTTGCCCTTTAAAATGTTGGGTTTGGTCAATGGGGAGATCCACCTGGTGACATTTCTCCTGGGAATGGCCTCATATTTGGGTGGGTTTTGGTTCATGTAAGGATGGAAAAATGAAAAAAAATCATAGTTTGTTAGAAGAAAGATGGGGAAAAAAATGCAATTTAATGTAATTAAGAGTTTCTGGAAGACAAATATGGAGATTTGAAGAGAAAAGGGTATTTTTGAAGGCACATGAAGCTCAACAAGGCCAAGATTTTGCCCCTGGGTGAGGACAATCCCAATCATAGATACAGGTTGGGTGGAGGATGGATGGAGAAGAGCCCTGAGGAGAAGGACTTGGGGGTGATGGTGCAGGAGAAGATCAACATGGGCCAACAACACCGTGAGTTGGAGCCCAGAAACCATCTGTGTCCTGGGCTGTGTCACCAGCAGTGTGGGCAGCAGGGCCAGGGAGGGGATTGTCCCCCTTTGCTCTGCTCTGCTGAGACCCCTCTGGAGAACTGGGTCCAGTTCTGGAGCCCCCAACACAAGAAGGACATGGAAGGACAGGAGACCATGGAGATGGGCTTGGAGCAGCTCTGGGACAAGCTGGGAGAGTTGGGGTGTTGAGCCTGGAGAAGAGAAGGCTCCAGGGAGACCTGAGAGCAGCTTCCAGTGCCTGAAGGGGCTCCAGGAAAGCTGGGGAGGGACTTGGGACAAGGGCAGGGAGGGATGGGATGAGGGGGATGGATTAAAACTAGAAGGGGGAGATGAGGTTGGAGATGAGGAGGAAATTGCTTAGTTAAGGGTGGTGAGAGCCTGGCCCAGGTTGCCCAGGGAAGCTGTGGCTGCCCCATCCCTGGGGGTGTTGAAGGGCAGGTTGGATGGGGCTTGGAGCAGCCTGGGCTGGTGGGAGGTGTCCCTGCCCATGCAGGAGGTGGGACTGGATGATCTTGAAGGTCCCTCCCATCTCAAACCATCCCATGATTCTATTTTTCTTTTGGAGCCTTTATGTGATTCAATTTGATACAGAGAAGAGTTTGCCCAGTTCCTCGGGCACCATCACACCCCTGATCTTCAAGTTCATCCTTTTTTTCCCCAATTACTTCAATTCTGAAATGACTGTTCTTGGTTTGTGTTAAAGGTGGGAAGAGACTGGTGGGAATTTCACCTGGAGATTTTGCTTTTTGGTTCCGTGGAGGATTGGGAAGCCTGGATCTTGATGGGTTCCTCTTTATGGTGGCTGACAACTCTTCACATCCTCACCTTTCCATGCAGATCCATCCTGATCACAGGTAACGATGGCTTAATTTTAATTAGATTTAAATGAACTTCCCCATTTCTGATCAGGTTCAAAAAATGTCAAAAGTCAAAATTAATCATCTTTCCTCTTTTAAAAATATCAAGTTAAAAGAGCAAATACAACACCCTCCTGAAATGTCCTTCCTGGCACAAATCACAGAGTGGTGGAGGTCAGAAGGGACCTCTGGAGACCCCCCAGTGCAGCCCCCTGGAGAGCAGGGTCACCCCCAGCAGGTCCCACAGGAACACACCCCGATGGGCTGGGATGTCTCCAGGGATGGAGGCTCCACCACCTCCCTGGGCAGCCTGGCCCGGGGCTCTGGGACCCTCAAGGTCAACAAGTTCCTCCTCAGCTTCAGGTGGAACCTCCTGAGCTCCAGTTGGTCCCGTGGCCCCTTGTCCTGTCCCTGAGAAGAGCCTGGTCCCCCCTCCTGCCCCCCCTGGACCCCATGTTGGGTCTCCACCCCCCCAGCCCCATGTTGGGCCCCCACCCCCGCAAGCCCCAGTTTGGGACCCCCAGCCCTATGTTGGGCCCCCCAGCTCCACCAGGAGGCCCAGAGGCACCACGTGCTGTGGGATCTGCTCCTACCTGCAGCACGTCCAGCCCGTCTCCCACACCTGGTCCACAGGTAGAGGCCCAAGAGGGTCCCACAGAGCGTTGCCCCCAGGCCCAGCAGCCCCCCCAGCACCGAGCAGGATTGGATGAGGTCTGTGGGCAGAGGGAGAGGTTGGTTGGATGGTCCCTGAGCCCACACTCAGTGCCCCCAGGAGCCCATTGGCCTTCTTGGCCACCAGGCCACCCTGCTGGCTCATGGTCGCCCTGTTGCCCACCAGGACCTTGAGGTCCTTGTCCCCAGAGCTGCTCCCCAGCAGGTCCCCCCACCCTGTGCTGCTCCAGGGGCTCGTTCCCCCCCAGATGCAGAACTTCCCCAGCTGCTCAGGCTGAACCTCACGAGGCTCCTCCTGCCCAACCCTCCAGCTCACGGTGGCTTCAGCCACACGACTTTGGGCCAGAAGCTGCTCCTTGATGGACACAACCCCTCCAACCTCCTCCTTTGGGCTGGGAAAGGAGGAGGAGCCAGGACAGGAGGTGGGACGAGCCCTGTTGCCCACCAGGACCCTGAGGTCCTTGTCCCCAGAGCTGCTCCCCACCCTGTGCAGCTCCCTGGGCTCGTTCCTCCCCAGATGCAGAACTTCACACTTGCCCTTGGTGAACCTCACGAGGTTCCTCCCTGCCCAGCTCTCCAGCCTGTCCAGATGGATTCTCCTCATTGTATTTCCCTTAAATATCTGATGCTCATCAACATCAACAACTGCCATTTTCTCCTCCACGCAGGTCAGCTTCGTAGCTGTCCCCACAACAGCTCCATTATTGGGGTCGTTGGAGAAGGGGTTGTCCGGCCCTGCCACGTGGTGGGAGAAGAGATCCCAGAGACCTTCTCTGTCCAGTGGGTGTTTCATGAACCACCCCAGAAAATCACCGTGAGCAGATACGATGGGAAGACCAAAAAGGAGGATCAAGATGAGAGATACAACAGCAGGACAGAGTTTTTCCCCAGTGAATTCCAAGCTGGGAACATGTCTCTCCACTTGAAGAACCTCAGGAGCTCTGACCAAGGTTCCTACACCTGTGTGGTCTCTTTCAATGACAGGCACCATCGGGGGTCGATTCAGCTGCAGGTGGCAGGTGAGTGGGAATTCCATCCCATTTCATTCCAAGATGGAGCTCAACAGGACCATGGGTCCATGCTGACTGAGGGAATTGTAATTTTATTATGGTTTGAAACGTTTTGATTTGATTTTATCTCAATTAATGGTTAGGGTTGTTAGCTGAGGTCAGTTGAGATCCCTCTCTTGAGGTACCTGGACACATGAAGCTCGATCATAGAAGAGTTTGGGTTGGAAGGGACCTTTCAAGGTCATCTAGTCCAACCCCCCTCCCTGCCCTGCAGTGACCAGGGACATCTCCAACCAGATCAGGTTGCCCAAATCTCTGGAGCTCCATCCAACCTGACCATGAGTGGTTTGGGGGATGGGGCTTCTACCACCTTGTTGGCCAAACCTGCTCCAATGTTTCACCACCCTCATTGTAAAACCTTCCTTGTGTCTGGTGGGAATCATAATTGTAGGATCCTTAGGTCCCCTGTAGGGACCTTAGAGACCACCTGGATGATCCACTAGATGATCTTCAAGGTGGCTGCTCCATCCCTGGAGGTGTCCAAGGGCAGGTTGGATGGGGCTTGGAGCAGCCTGGGCAGGTGGGAGGTGTCCCTGCCCATGCAGGGGTTGGATCCAGATGATTTTGAAGGTCCAACCCAAACCATTCCATGATCTAAAGAATTACTTAGTTATATGTAGTCTAAATCTCCTCTCTTTGTGATGAAGACCATCACCCCTTGTCCTGACCCTACCAGGTCCTACTAAAAAGTTTGTCCCCAGATTTCTTGTAGACCCTCTTTAGGTATTGAAAGGCTGCAATGAGGTTTCCTTGGGCCTTCCTTAGGCTGAACCATCCCAATTCCCTCAGCCTATCCTCATAGTAGAGGTGCTCCACCTCTCTGTGGCCTCCTCTGGTACCCTGCTCCAACAGGTCCAGGTCTTTCCTGTCCTCAGAACTGCATGTGACCTGAGAGCACAATCATGGAATTGTGGAATGGTTGGGGTTGGAGGGATCTTCAAGATGATCTAAATCCAACCAACCCCATGGGCAGGGACAGCTCCCACCAGCCCAAGTTGCTCCAAGCCCCATCCAACCTGGATGTGAACACCTCCAGGGATGGGGCAGCCACCTTGAAGATCATCTAATGGATCATCCAGGTGGGCTTTAAGGTCCCTTCCAAATCAAACCATCTGTTTCTGGGATGGTGGAGTCTGTGAACATCCCAGAGGTTTCAGGGAATCATAGATTCATGGAATGGTTTGGGTAGGAGGGGCCTTAAAGACCATCCAGTTCCAACCACAGCCTCAGGGCCCAAGTCTTTGTCACAGTTTAAATTCAGAAAAGCCTTTATCTTCTCCCGTGGTTCAAATGGAGAATGTTCCTTCTCAGCTAAAGGTGGTGGCCCTTCCATCTTCCTGAAGAGCCACAGCAAGGAGGGCATTGGCCTCACCTGCCATGCAGCTGGATGGTTTCCTAAGCCTGAGGTGGTTTGGTTGGATGGCCAAGGACGGGTCCGGAAGGAACTATCGACCACCAAGGTGACCATGATGCCCACAGGTCTCTACAGTGTTGTCACCCCCATGAACCTCGAGCGAGGCTCTGACATGGAAGTTTCCTGCAGGGTGGTCAACAATCTGCTCAGCACCATGAGTGAGTCTCGAGTCCTGATCTCAGGTGGGTGAGCTCTGCAGGTGCCTTGTGAGGTGGGAAAGTCGGAGGGTCCGACCACACGGGTCCCATTTTCATAGGATCATGGAATGGTTTAGGTTGGAGAAACCTTAGAGACCATCTAGATCCAACCCCCCTGCATGGGCAGGGACACCTCCCACCTGCCCAGGTTGCTCCAAGCCCCATCCAACCTGGATGTGAACACTTCCAGGGATGGGGCAACCACCTTGAAGATCATCTAGTGGATCATCTGGGTGGGTTTTAAGGTCTCTTCCAACCCAACCATCCAGTTCTGGGATGGTGGAGTCTGTGAACATCCCAGAGGTTTCAGGGAATCATAGAATGGTTTGGGTTGGAGAGACCTTCAAGATCATCTAGTTCCAACCCCCCTGCATGGGCAGGGACACCTCCCATCATTCCAGGCTGCTCCAAGCCCCATCCAACCTAGTCCTGAGCACTTCCAGGGATGGAGCAGCCATAGCTTCTCTGGGCAACCTGTTCCAGTTTCTCACCACCCTTAAACTAAGAATTTTCCTCCTCATCTCCAACCTCAATGTCCCTCTTCCAGTTTTAATCCATCCCCCTCATCCCATCCCTCCCTGCCCTTGTCCCAAGCCCCTCCCCAGCTTTCCTGGAGCCCCTTCAGGCACTGGAAGCTGCTCTAAGGTCTCCCTGGAGCCTTCTTCTCTCCAGGCTGAACCCCCCAACTCTCCCAGCCTGTCCCAGAGCTGCTCCAATCCTCTTCCATAATACTCAATCTACCACCTGGAGAAGGAGTCTCCCTGGATTAGTCCTAATGAGAAGTTCTAGAGATCTTTTTCACACACATTCACCATCTCCTGCACCTTCAAGTCCTCATTCCCTTTGTGTTTTAACAACTATTAGAATATTTCTATCATTTATTTACAGATATTTTCTTCCCCTCCATTTCAAAATGGCTGATTGTCTTCCTGGTGATTTTGTGTCTTTGCCTGGTCCTGGTTTCCACCATATTTTCCAAGCTGAGAAGTGAGTGTTTCCTTGTCTGACAGTTGAAATATCCCCACAGTTCATCCCAAATTCCACCACTAGAACAAAACCTCCCAAGAAAAATCACCAATGATTTGATTTAATCCCCAAATTAAGGAAATGGAGGGAAAAAAATACATGGGGTGGGGAAATGAGAGGACCTGAAGGAGGAGGGGTGGGAGTTGCACGTTCTCATCTCTGGGGGCTTCAGGTCTGAGGAGACCTTTGTGAACAATGGAACTAGAGGGTTAATGACAAATGAACTAGTGTTTTTTTCCAGCCTTAATCGACAAAAAAACAGGCAACAAAGTGTTTAATTTTCACTTTTCTTTATCCAGGAAACCACAAGAAAATGGTTCTCTCAGGTGAGTAAATGAGGAAGGTGAATATGAAGAAGAAAATAACTCGAAAGTTGGAACGTTTCTCGGAATCATGGGATGGTTTGGGTTGGAAGGGACCTTCAAGATCATCTAGATCCAACCCCCTGCATGGGCAGGGACACCTCCCAGCAGCCCAGGTTGCTCCAAGCCCCATCCAACCTGCCCTTGGACACCTCCAGGGTTGGAGGAACCACCTTGAAGACCATTTAGTGGATCATCCAGGTGGTCTTTAAGGTCCCTTCCAACCCAAACCATTCCATGATCTAAAGACCATCCATTCCCACCATAGACAGGGACACCTCCCAGCAGCCCAGGTTGCTCCAAGCCCCATCCAACCTGCCCTTGGACACCCCCAGGGATGGGGCAGCCACAGCACCCCTGGGCAACTTGTTATTCTAGACAGAAGACATGTCCAAAAGCCTGGACCTGAGAAGAAAAAGGACCAGTTGACATAGGATCATGGGATGGTTTGGGTTGGAAGGGACCCTCAAAGATCATCTAGCCCACCTCCACTGATGGGGTTTACTGGAGGGGCTCCAGGAAACTGGGGAGGGACTTGGGACAAGGGCAGGAGTGATGGGATGAGTAGGGATGGATTAAAACTGGAAGAGGGAGATTTGGGTTGAACATGAGGAGGAAATTCTTCACCCTGAGGGTGGGGAGACCCTGGCCCAGGCTGCCCAGGGAAGCTGTGGCTGCCCCATCCCTGGCAGTGTCCAAGGGCAGGTTGGATGGGGCTTGGAGCAACCTGGGCTGCTGGGAGGTGTCCCTGCCCATGCAGGGGGTTGGATCTTGATGATCTTGAAGGTCCCTCCAACCCAACCCATCCCATGACTCTACTTATTCCAGATCTCTGGGTCTCAGTCAGGCTGTGGTTGGGACGACTCCCCTAGCAAGGTCCTCAGAATCCTACCTCATTTTTGGTGAACTCCAGTAGGAATTTCACGTCCTGCTATGAAAAAATAAGAATTTTTACTAATAGATCAGATGAAATTGAAGTTTTAAGCCCTTTGGTTTCTGTTTCTACACCAAATAAACTTCTGTGACAAAGGAATTTGCCAGAATAATTAACATAATGATCAATTTTCTTTATTTTTCAGCAAAAGCAAAGGAGGAAATGGAAGAAGGTAAAAGATTCTTTGTGTCTGAAACCACGTTGAGATGTTCAGAGATCTCAGGAAAGCAACATTCATGTGTTGAAATTAGATATTGGGGAACAATTTCTTCACTGGAAGGGTCATTGAGCACTGGGACAGCCTTCCCACCAGGGCAGTGGTGGAATCTCCATCCCTGGAGGTGTCTAAGAGATGTGGGGCTGAGGGACATGGGTTAAGCACTGGACTTGGTGGGGTTGGATTGTAGTTAGTGGGGTTGGGTCGTGGTTGGTGGAGTTGGGTCATGGTTGGACTCAATGATCTTCAAGGTCTTTTTCAACCAGAACAATTCCGTGATTCTCTGAAGAGGAAATGGGCTCAGGTTTCCCAGGGGAGGTTCCAACTGGATATTTGCCAGAACTTCTTCACCCAGAGAGTGGTCAGACCCTGGAAGGGACTTCCCAGGGAGGTGGTGGAGTCACCATCCCCAGACGGGGTCCAAGAAAAGTGTAGATGTGGCACTTCAGGACATGCTCCAGTGGGAATGGAGGTTTCCTTGGGGGGGTTCTGTGAGGGTCTTGGTTGGGTTTTGTGAGCTTGTGGGGTTTTGTTCTGCTTTTCTTTCTCTTGGGTGGATGGTTGGACTTGGTCATCTCAGAGGTCACACAGTTCTGTGACAACAAGTCCAAACAGGACCTGCAGCACCAGCAACCCAAAGTCCAGTTCCCACCCTGCTTTAATGGCTTTTGGAAGAAGAGCTTAATGATTTCTCTAAATACAATCGAGTTGAAACAGCGTGAGATGTTCATGGATTAAACTCACAGAATATTAGGGGTTGGAAGGGACCTCTGAAGATCATTGAGTCCAACCCTTCCTGCTAGAGCAGGGCCAAAAAAACCCCACAAAACAAGCTAAAGCAGATCACTCAGGCATCCAGACAGGTCTTGAAAGTCTCCAGAGAAGGAGACTCCACCACCTCTCTGGGCAGCCTGTCCCAGGGCTCTGTCACCCTCACAGCAAGAAGTTCTTCCTTGTGTTGAGGTGGAACTTCCTGGGCTCCACTTTAAATCCATTTCACCTCATCCCATCCCAGGGCACAAGTGAGAAGAGCTTGTCCTGCCTTCTTGCTGCCCTCATGTATTTATAGACATTCATTAGATCCCCCATCAGTCTTCATCTCTCCAGACTGAACAGCCCCAGGTCTCTCAGCCTTTCCTCATCAGGCAGATGTTCCAGTCCATCATCCTCATAGCCTTTCTTGGACTCTCTCCAGTCAATCCCTGTCCGTCTGGAACTGGGCAGCCCAGAACTGGACACAACACCCCAAGTGAGGTCTCACCAGGGCTGAGTAGAGAGGGAGGAGAACCTCCCTTGACCTGTTGGACACCTCTTGATGCACCCCAAGATACCATTGACCTCCTTGGCCATAAGGTTGTCCCAGGGATCCCTTGTTGTCCACCAGGACTCCAAGGTCCTTCTCCATGGAGCTCTAACCTGTCCTGGTGCATGTTGTTGTTCCTTCCCAGGTGCAGGACTCTGGGAACCTCCCTCTTGAGGTTCTTGAAGGAACCTCATGAGGTTCCTCTTTGCCCAGCTCTCCAGCCTGTCTAAATCTTGCTGAATGTCTGCAGGGCCTTCTAACAGTGTCATTAATCCAAGGAAACACCTGCCAGGGGGTCGTGCAGGTTGTGTCTTGGTCTTTGTGTCTATCCAAGACCTTGCACTGATCTCCCTCTATTGTCTTTTCTAGAGAAAAAACAACTGGAGTCCATTTTAGGTGAGATGCTTTTGTTGCTCATTGGGGCTTGTTGCCTTTGAAGGCTGGGGGGTTTTCTGTGTTCTTTGGTCTGTTCTGGTCTGACCACTGACTTTGGTGACCCTGGTCCACGTGGTGGAGCATCAAAATGGGATGTGGGGCCCAGCTGAGGCAAAGAAACTTTGTGGGGAAAAAACTCCAGGCAGAGCCTGAGATGTTTCTTCCTTTCTTGGATTCCTCTGTCTTGGGTTGGGGTCCCCTGGCCTTGCCTTGGGGTTCTCTGTTGTGTCGTGGGGCTGGTTCCTCTGTCGTGGGGCTGGTTCCCCAATCATGGGGCTGGTTCCTCTGTCATGGGGCTCCTCCATCGTGGAACCTCATGAGGTTTGCTTGGATTTGGGCTCCCCTGCCTTGTCTTGGGGTTCTCTGTCATGTAATGGGGCTGGTTCCTCTGTCGTGGGGCTGGTTCCTCTGTCGTGGAGCTCCTTCACCTTGGGTTGAGGCTCTTCTTTCTTGTCTTTGGGCTCCTCTGCCTTGTCATGGGGTTGGTTCCTCCATCTTGGGTTGGAGCTCTTTTGTCTTGGGTTGAGGCTCCTCTGTCATGCCCTGGGGTTGGTTCCTCTGTCTTGGGGCTCCTCCCTCTTGGGTTGGGGCTCTTTTGTCTTGGGTTGAGGCTCCTCTGTCATGCCCTGGGGTTGGTTCCTCTGTCTTGGGGCTCCTCCCTCTTGGGTTGGGGCTCTTTTGTCTTGGGTTGAGGCTCCTCTGTCATGCCCTGGGGT